AGAGCTGGAGTTTGGATGTTGCTGCAGCGCTCGATGTTGTAATTAGCCACTGCGATGTGAGAGGTTGTCGCGGGACCGTGAACGTTCTCTGGTGTGAGTGGCAGTGTTGATGTTGGTGGCCGGGGTGGCTTGGGGTGGGGGACCTGTCCAGTAAGAGTGTAGACGTTCTGCGTCTTGTGGTGGGGTACGTGGTGAGGGAGAGGGTGAACGGCTGGAAAGTCCGGGTGGTAGTGGAAAACCTGGCGGTATGTCGTGTAGAATGGCCAGGTTTCTGCTGGAGAGTGAGGCTGTGGGGTTGATGCGGTATTGCCCTGGGAGGCCTGGGCCGGTGGTAACAAATTGAAGGAGCCGACGAGCCTGGGAGAGGCTGTCAATCAGGCGGTCCAGCAAGATCAGGTCACCGCGCATTCGGTAGAGGAGGTTGTATGCTCTCTGGTCCTGAAAATACGTCTGGCTTGGCATAGGTTCAGTGTGAAATGGGTGGTGGCGGAGGTGTTGGTTGACCATAAAGAGAAGGTCCAAGGAGCTGTTGAGGGATTGAAAGTCAGGCTGAGTGCAAATCGAAGGTTGGAGCCAGCTCGGAGGGCGCTGTGGCAGGTAGTGTTCTGTGTTGGCGGTGTTGCCATGGGGGCGAGCGCGAGGATTGGCCATAACTAGTGGTACAAGAAAGCAGGACAAAGTGGCACACAAAAAGCTGCGGAGCTAGAGTGAGCCTGAAAAAAAAAGTTGTCCAAAATGGTGAACGTAGACCGGGCGTGAAAAACAACTTGTCAGTGCATGGTAGTAGATTTGTCCTGCGGCACGCCGTAGAGAAAGCTGGGTGAAACTGATCATATGAAATAACTGCCGACGGGCGCAAGTGGAGATTTCTCCGGATGGCTGTTCTCACTAGGCGCTCGCTCAGCAGCCGGCGGCAGCAGCACAGCAGCCGGAGGTGATCGATGTGGTGAAGCCGGTGGCGTTGTTTTGGGGGAAGGGGAAAAATCCGGTTGTGAATGTGGTGCTGGGGAAACTGCTGGTGAGGTGGGTGTTGGTGAGAGGGAAGGGGCTTGTCGTGGTGGGTCTGTTGGTAGTGATGTGGAGGAAAGTTGCTGGTCTTGCTGACGTTGCATGTCTTTGAGTTCTTGCCATCGGGCTTGACATTGCTCGACTGAGAAGCCCAGTCGGCGAGCCACAGTGGCCCAGTTGGGACGAAGTCTGGGGTTTTCTTTGAGTTCGACCAGGCGACAATCGGCATCGCCGTCCCACGCGTCCCAGTCCGCTTGTTGGTTAAGTGGTGGTGGGGGTGGTTGCTTCCGCTTGCGTGTTGTGGTAGGTTGTGGAGCTGGGGATGTTGTTGGTGTGTCGTCGGAGTCTTTTGAGAGTGGTGCTGGTAAACGGATGGGTAGTCGGGATGGTGCTGAGTCACAGGAGGAGGTGGTGGATGGTAAACGTATAGGGTGGATAGGCGGAGTTGGGAGTGGCTGAAAGTGTTGGCGGAAAGTGGGATCCGCTTGGTGGATGTGGTGGAGGAAGTGTGTGTGAAGGTGTGCTACAATATCTGTTGCTTGTCTGAGCAGGTTTTGCACCTGCGAAAGTACCACTGTGGTTCTGTGTAGGAGAGTTGAGGTGTCGTTGTGTAGAGGTGTCAGTGTATTGCTCATGACTTGGAGATGTAGGGATGTACAGTAGCACAGAGTCGTCACAGGTTGCTGCGGCAGCGCGCCAAAGCAGCAGGACATCAGCTGATCTGCGGGGGCGCGTCATCACGTGGCCGTGCATATGAATTAAACGAGCATCAAATTCCCGCGGGCATGGTGCGAAAATGCAAGTCCGATTGAACAATCAAGTGCATGAAACTCAGACATGTGAAATACTCCATCAAAACAGCTGGTACGATTCGGAAAAAGATGTTGAAAGCAAAACCTGCAGAGCTTGAAAAATTGAGGGTTCAGAATTCGCGTGGTCGCTGCAGGAGGCTCTTTTTGGCTGCTATAAGCAAAGGTTATGTGGTGGTGTGAGACGGAAGGTGGAGGTGGAGGTGGTAGTGGCGTGGAGGTGTTTGACAGTGGTGTTATGTGTCTGGTGGAGTGGAGTTTGTGGACCAGGCCAGTCCTTTGACAATGGCGTGGTCCGGGTGGATCACCCAGCAGCGGCCCTTCTGATGGAAGACTGCACCATGGTGATCGTTAAGGAGGTTCATGGCGTGTTCCTCACCTCCGGATGTATATTTTGTGGCAGCACCCCAAGCAAGGAGTGTGATGATAAGGGAATGGGAGTTCTTGTGGAGTTGCCAGGTGTTGTGGATGATGCGGGCAAATTCGTTGTGGTCATGGGGTTGGTTGTGGGTGATGCGAACGCCCTGGGCAAAAAATCCAGGGTAGTTGGCAAAGTGGAGTGTGCTGGGTAAAAATCGGCCTTGGCGTAGAATGTTGGAAATGTTGCCGACAGGGCCCGTGTGGCCTGCGTTGATGTGGGCGACTTCCCGGTGGGTTGATGTGGCTCGGGAAACCGCAGGTGGTTCTGGTGTAGTGGCTTTGGTGTTGAGGAAGGGAAGTGAAATGGCGTAGTATTGGAATTGGTCGTATTGGTGAGTTGTGTCGTTCCACTTGGCGTGAGTATATTGCCGGAAATCGGTGATCTCCTTGTAGGTGATGTTGCAATCTGTGAGGAGATTGGCAATGTACTGGTGTTGTGGTCGGTTGGGGTTGTCGAGTTGGGTGGCGTGGAATTCAAGCCATTCCAGGATTTGGTCTGTAGGTGTAAAGGTGTGAAAGTTGGGTGGAGGTTGCCAACGGTTGATTGGGCGACGAAGGACGGCTGTGGTGGGAAATTGAGAGGGGTCTGGGTTGGTGTGTTCAGTGTTGGGGCGTAAATCGATGGGTTGTGGTGGTGAGCGACTGCGGGATGGTGTAAGACTGGATGTGTAAGTGGATGTCGAGGGCGAACGCCGTCGCCGGGTTGTGCTGTGGTGCTTGGAGTGGTGGTGATGTCGATGTCGGCGGCGGTGGCGGTGGCGTCCTCTGCGGTGATGGTCGGACTTGTGTCGGTTCTTGTGGTGGTGGCGGCGACTGCTGTGTGGTGGTTGCGGGGAAGGTGGTGGTGGTGCTGGTGAGACAGTGGTGTCAGGCTTGTCTGGTGCAGGCAGTGAAGGTCCGGGTGCTGGTGTGGCTGATGCAAGTGATGGTGATGCAGAATGTTGGGATACAGTAGCTGGAGGGGTCGTGTTTTGGACCGGCAATGGAGCGTCCGTGGCGGTTGTGGGGATGTGTTGGATTGGTGGTGCTGGATCGGATGGCGTCTGGTGTGGGAGTGGAGGCTGGACTGGTGGTGAGGCGTTGATGGTTTGTGGAGGTGGTGGTGGGGGCAATGGTTGGGATGGAGGTTGTGTGACTGGGGGAAAGGCTGAACAGGGTTGCCAAATGCCCTGGGGGGTGGCGCATTGTGGGTCTGTGGATGGATGATTGGCAACCGCGGGCTGTTGCTGTGTTGGAAGGGGATGTGTCAGTGTGGTGGGGGGAGGAAGTTCAGCCGGTGGTGTGGGATGAAGTGGTGGCAACATGTATGAAGGGGGAGGTGCTGCTGACGGAAAAACTGGAGTTGGATGTGTGGGCTGTGGTGGCATGTGACATGGTTGCACAAAAGTCCAAGTGGATGGTGTGCCGTAGGTCAGTGCAGTGGCGGTAGGATTGGACAAAAAAGGTGGTGGTTGAAATGGTTGTGGTTGTGGGTGAGGGTATGCCGATGGTGGTGTCGTGGGAAAGGTGGGTGCGGTTGATGGCTGTGGCAGCGGCCATGTGGGTTGCGGTTGTGTGGTAGGTAATGGTGGTGGCGTGGCGTGAGCGTATGGCGCGGCCGGTTTGTCAGTTGATTCGGTGAGGGTGTCGGTGCCTTCCTGTGAGAGTCCAGTGAGTGGTGGTGCGTTGGGGTGGTTGCTTTCCCATGCAAAAACGGCGCCCCTGTGACGGGGATCACACTCAGCACCCGAGTGGGACGGCTGAGCGAAACACACTCTGACACTTGTATTCAGTGACTCAATTTCCACGATGGGAAGGATGGCGGTGGAACGGCATGGTGATTGGGTCAGATCACTTGAAATGTTTAACGTAGTTTCTCTCGTTCTGCTGAACAAACGCTGCACATCTGCGGACGATCGGCGGCTCAGCTGCTGGGGAAGAGTGGGTTTGTGGGAGGTATCATGAATCACCATGGAAACAAAAAAAGGAAGATTGGACAGCGTGATCAACAGTTGTAAGTGCAGGTACAGGAATGTGCGTCCACATTCCCTTCCGGCTGAATCCCATAGCTTCGTTGGCATGGCTAGGGAAACAGCTGCCATGCCCCCTGCTCATGTAAAGTGGTTGTCCAAGGTAGGTGAAAAGCATGGAAAGAGTGGTGGCGGAAGACCCTTTGTCCAGGGGTGGACACACACACACACACTCGAGATATTGCGCGCTGAATTGATCGCCCCAAACCCTGAAGAAGCCTAAGCGAAAATTGCCTGGGTAAAATAGGTGACATGCGATGCGATCTGACCACCTCAAAGTCCAAATGGCCATCGCTTGTAGTTAGGAGGCCGAAGTCCCAAAGCTCTGAAGATTCGATCGGCTCGAACGACGAGTGCGTGACTGCAGAGTGCATTAGTTCTTTACTGAAAAGTGGGGTCACAGCTTGAGCAACAGTTCGAGAAGAAGCAGGTACGTAGTTCTGGCGTCCCAGAGCTATATCACTCCAGCCCCCTGCTGAAAGTAAAATATCTACGGAATTCGAAGTGGCTCCAAGGGTTTCACACACACACACACATGCAAACAAACGAAAAGCCTAAACAAACATCCAAACAAACTACAATAAATTAGCAAATTTGAGATAACATCCAAGCTCAGCGTCAAACCTTGTTTTTGGGGTTCTTTGTTTTTGTCTTCGGGCATTTTTTGCGGTAATTTATTGGGTTTAGAATTTGGTCTTTTCGGGTTCCCAAACTCAACCCCCTGTTGAACACGTTGGGGCTTCAACCGAGCTGCGCAACTCAAACAGGGCCAGTGAAGCAGTTCCAATACCTGGGCGTCAGCAGTCGTGAGCATTTTGTCCTTTGGCCTAACCTGAAACAAAGAACGAAAGCTAGTTGGACACCAACGTGAAATTTGGGACGGTCCCACAACGGCTTCTATTGTTAGGACCCATAAAAGCCACCCAAAGAATCACCAGACCTGGTGGTGTGAGAGAATGTCAACTTGATTGGTCTGCTGCTGTTTTTGTTGCTGGTGTGCTGGTCTGCTCCTCTGCCAGGCTGCTGGAAGAGATTTAAGAGGCTCACACCCAACAGCGGGCCAGCAGGGGGTTCAGTGGCAGGCGACAGGGGCAAACAAATGAGACTTGTCCTTGTTCTTCTTGTTGTTGTTGTTGCTGTTGTTGTTGTTGTGGTGATTGTGGTGGTGGTGGTGGT